ATAGCTCCAGGTAGATGCTAGCTGCTGCAGTTAGCTCCAGGTAGATGCTAGCTGCAGCAGTTAGCTCCAGGTAGATGCTAGCTGCTGCAGATAGCTCCAGGTAGATGGTAGCTGCTGCAGATAGCTCCAGGTAGATGGTAGACAGGTGGTATCAGCTACAGCTGCACATGTAACGGATTACTAATTAAATGTGGGTAGTATACTACCTTTTAAAATTCTCAGTAACGCAGTAACAACTCATTTTTACCCGAAATGAAATGGTGTTTTTAAGAATTGACCAACATCGCGAGACATTCCGACACCAGAGAAATATTGTGCAGGTAGATTAGTCAGCCTGGTGTTTACCCTCCAGGCTGATCGGGTTCCCCGGGTTCCCCGGACTTATATCAGAGTCCTGCATCGGGTCGGGTACAGGCGGGTACATGTATAGGTATATGTGTATATATATATATAAATACATGTTACCCTCCCACACCACCAGACCTCTCTGTGCTTAAGGAGATCATCTCTTACTCTTTATTCTTTATTCTTAACTCACTCATCAAACATTAAAATACACATCAGTTTGATGCTCAACCAAAACTCTGCTGTCTGACTTTCAGTGAACACAACACGCCATGATGGAGAGGAGAGAGGAAGAGGAGGAGGGGGAGGAGGAAGAGGAGAGGACGACTACATCCACCAGAGAGGAAGAGGAGGAGGAGGTCTCAGGTGATGAAGAGGTCTCAGGTGATGAAGAAGGGGTCTCAGGTGATGAAGAAGGGGTCTCAGGTGATGAAGAGGTCTCAGGTGATGAAGAAGGGGTCTCTGGTGATGAAGAGCATAAGGATAAAGATGGTGATGATGAAGATGAAGGTCTTTCAGGGATGAAGAAGCAGACCAATCAGGAAGCAGCCGGAGACAGGAAGTGTGTCCCAGGTATTCTCTACCTGGGACACATCCCTCCGAGGCTCCGCCCCCGACACGTGAGGAACCTGCTGTCAGCCTATGGGGAGGTGGGCCGCATCTTCCTGCAGCCAGAGGGTACTTATACACACTCTGTGTACTAATACACACATACATATACATCTTCCTTCAGCCAGAGAGTACTTATACACACTCTGTGTACTAATACACACATATATACAGGGGTGCACATAACTGGTACGCAGGTACGCATGCGCGGCCTAAATGTGGAATGCGTAACGTCCCGTGAGTCATTGCGCGCCTTTGCGTACCTGGTCAAATCAAAACGTATTTGGTGTACATGTGTTTCATGTAAAAATGCAATGGAGTAGACATGTCGAAAAAACAAAAAACACTGAGCAACTACTTTGGCGTTTCGCCACCTGCAAAGAAACAACAAACTGAGCCAGAGCCAAAGAAACGATTATTATATATATATATATATATATATATATATTATATATATATTATACAAGACGTGCCGTGGCTGGATGCCGATGATGAGCGCACTGAAATGCGGTGCAAAATATGCCGCTCGCATCCACATCTAGCGGACAAAAAGGGTACGTTTTATACAGGCTCGAAAAATGTCAACCACCCTTTGTTTGAAAAACATGAAAAGAGCAAGGAGCATGTTAATGTGGCACAAGTTATTGCTAATAAACAAGCTACTACAGAAGAACTATCCAGCCACCCACTTGCTAGATGGCAAGGCAAGCTGAATGAAGAGCAACGGCAAGCCCTGTGTAATATTTTTCTCCTCGCCTTTCATAAAGCTAAACATGCACGTCCTATGTCTTCCTATGCTGAGGATATTCCTTTACTGAAGCGGCTCGGAGTAAATATCGGAGGCGCATATCACTCACGTGAAGGGGGGACACGAATAATGCAGACCATTGCGCAAACTATCAGTGGGGAGTTGAGACTAAAGTT